CAACTGAGAAGGTGAATTCATGATAAGTGCTTAAAAGGATTCCTTAAAGAAGTACGATGTGATATTGTCTATATCTCTATGTCTATGTGTCATTTGATACCAATAGATAAGTCGGTCGATACTATTAAATGTGAGGTAAGAGTGATTTAGGTAATAATGATTCACCAAGGGTGTAACCTCTATTAAAATATATTGCCCCCCTCTCTCCATCAATTCATACTTTTGGATGAACTAATTGGGGCATGAATTCAGTATGGCATCAGAGCCAAGAGGTCTCAAGTTCAAGACCTTGCCAACACAATATTTAAAAAGGATTGTGCGGCCTACATTGATCCCATGTCTAAGGACTAAATAAGCCTAGATGTGAGAGGGTGTTGAAATATATTGTCCGCCTCTCTTCACCAGTTCTTACTTTTGGACAAATTGGTTGGAGCATGAATTCAATAATCTTAAAGCCTCACATACCCTTACACATAACCTAACATTTTGGGTAGGGCTTCGTACCACCAGTATCGCCGAGACACCTAAATTTTGTTTGATGATAGAGCTCCAAGATTGGACATTACCCATAAATTTAAGAATTCTCTTCCCTAATCGGTCACTAGGGTGCTCGTCAGCGATGGAGCACAACATCGTGGAGCAACTTCTTGCTCGTCAGTAGTAATCACTCGGCGGGAGCCCCATGGCATCTCCATTAATGGTCGCAGGGACAACCTGTCAGCAGTGTTAAGATTGCCTTTCGTCGATCAACACAATATTGATGGATCATATTCACCGTCGGGCGGTGATACCACCCATGAGAGCTGCCATCATCAATCATAGGCACACACGCACCCCCCACACACTCACTCACTTAATTAGTGGGTTTTGCTAGCCACTTAATAGTTCATAGATGTAATTTGCACCAATGGCTCTTAATGCACACCCTTTAGTGGTAATATGGCCTAAATCAGTCTCATAGGCCCACATCCATCACCCTTCACTCCTATAAAACATATACCTCTCCGGAATTCTAAGGGAATCGACCCCTCTCTTTCCCTGCACTCATACTAGTGGCGACAGTTGATCCACCGTGACCACCACACTGAATGCACTATTGCACCCACGATGCCACCGTCATTTCTTACACCAGCCACACGTCAATATGGTCATGCATGGTACAATAATGGCATCTGTTATCCGCATGACCATGCGGGGAATCATGCTATCAGAGCCTAAAATGCTGGCCACACATGGATCAAGTCATGTTGGGAACCTTGCTTCCATTGTATCCTCGCGTAGCCATGCGCCCAACATACACCGAGAACGCTCTATACCCGGAAGCTTTTGGTTATGGCCACGTGGGGAACCACTCAGTTGTAGCACTCCTTGATCAACCTAGGGGGGAGGGGGATTCCATCCGGTCCTTTGGGCCCAGCTATGTGGGGTATTGCGCTACCATCCCCATAGCCCCCGCCGTATGTGCGTCTGGCCATGCGGATACCGCAGTACCACCCCCTCCTCTCCCATCCACACTATTATCTCGGGAAGCATCCCATCTTCACACTCTTCTTAATGCTCTCTAAGGATCCCGACCATCGAACCGTGAAATTTCTAGGGTCAGTTTTACGCTTTATTTATAGGGATTAATCTAGAGATAATTGATGAAACTGACCCAAAACTTAATTTTATTTTGCTTCTATAAACATGAATTCCATTTGAGGCGATAATGATGTCAAAGTTGACAACAAACTCCTAGAATAGATTAGTGTGATTAGTGTGTAGTATTAATATTAGTAGTGTGATTAGTATTAGCAAGTCAGTACTCCCTCTGTTCTTACTCTACATATTAGCTTTGCTCCAAGTCAAACTCTATAAAGTTTGACCAAGTTTATAGAAAACAATATGACCATTGACAATAACAAGTATATATGACGCGGAAATATATTCAATGATAAATCTAATGGTGTGGTATTGTAGATGTTAATAATTATTTCTGTAATCTTGATAAGAGTTTATAAAGTTTAACTTATGACAAAACTAGTATGCAGAGTCAATAAAACGGAGTGGTATAATTTCATGAACCTCCAGGGGATTAAAGAGGACGATCGACCAGTGTCCAACATGCGTATGTCTTTATTTGCGGGATTTCTATGGTATAAATGGAAGAGTAGTGCCAGAGGTGTGAAGTATATCCTTCTAGATGATAATGATGCGATCTAGATTTGTGGTTTCAGACAAGTAGATGAACTCCAATCTGAGGTCTAATATTGTTTTATGGTGCACCAAGATAGTGAAAGCTACCTAGTTTTGCGTACGCCTGTCCCAGCCTGACCCAACAATAATGCAACCGGATTGTCTGACATTCTCATGCATGGACACGTGATGGTTCAGCATGTAAATGCACGGCGAATCAATGACCGGCATTAGCGATCATGACCCGCATTTCATCAACTAGGCACTTAATTTTCTTTATCAACTAACGCACGCAAGCAAGCAGATGTGCATGCCAGGTGCCTTTGTGTCATTCAACAACTGTGTATCCTGTCGCCCAACCGCAATGAGAACTAGTAAGGGCTTTCTCAATGATTGATAAGGCGGCATTGTATTCCACGTTATTTAGAGACAATAAAATATGTTGCGAAATGGTTTATCTCTTAGTGTTATCTCTAGCATCTAATACCAAAATTGTGGCGTGATTAAAATTAAATAAGAAAAAATTGTGAATAAGAGACATCTATGACAACTCAGACATCATATCTTTCTCCTATGAAATCACCTCTTAATTAAGCGCATGCACGTTTTTTCCCTTCTATTTCTCTCTTCCACTTCATATATTATCTTGGGATTTCTATTTTTGTGCCTCTCATTGCTTAGTTCTCCTCAGTTTTGCCCACGCTCTATGACAGTCCTCACTTTTCCCCTCCACCGCACGGCCCAGCCTTGCAAAAGCCCAAACGGGGGCTTGCCGTT